GGGTCACCATTGTGGGTGCTACCTGAACGACTTAGGGATCCCCTCTAGTATGAGTGTTTAATATGTCAAGCCGCCAGTTCTGTTCTTGGTGAAGAATCTCTAACAAGTCCAAATTGGATTTGAAACAAGCGAGTATTTTAAACAGTTCTTGTTTCTACAAATTTATCCATCAAGGTGGCCATCCATCGACCGTATCCACATCGACTTTCAAAGTAATATGTCACAGACAGCAGTCCACTTCAAGTATGTGCTACCAATGAATATATAGGACAACTAGAGTGTACCGTACACTTTTAATGAGTAGAAACAAGATCGCACCATATAAAATAGGATAAAAAACTAAAAATTCTTGATTTAACCACAGACAGAGCAAGCATAGACAGTCCACCCCATATATGACAGTCGTTGGCACCCTGCGACAGATTGCATCACGACAGGCACATGATTCTACACTTTACACGACTATCATTCTATATAATAAGCTCTCTACGATCAAAAATGTAAAAGAGGGAAGAAACAAGCCACCATAAAATTCTATTTGAATGATATTCCATCCAACGGATAAATCTATGCATGTTTTAAACATGCAATCCCAGCATTTGGCTGCGAACTGTCATCACCTCGGAGATGATCAAAGTGACAGAGGGACTCTGCCAAACAGCTGAGAATCCAATGACAAGCAAAATGTCAAAAATACCTCTGAGCAGGATCCCGAAGTAGGTTGTCACTCCCGAAAAGTTCGGTAGGTGACAAAAATTTCCCGATTAGAAATTGGTAAAGAACACTGAAACAAAGAAAGTGCAATCTGTCCAGTCGCCAGATCAATGTTCCAATCCAGGAATCTCTACCAGCAGAAAAGATCACACAGTGCTATCTACAATCATCGAAAACATACCAAAAAGTAAACTGGACTAAAAAGACACAGTTCACTTCTCTAAATTCATCCAACGAAGTAATCATGCTTGATTAAAAAGATCCACATTGACTTTCAAAAGAGAAGGCCATCCAACAAAGTAATCATTTCAAGCATGCTACTGATGTAGCGCATTTGCTGATTACCGTTGTGAATACACACCATTGAGGCAGCAACAATTACCAAAAAGGACGTGGTGAACAATATTTACTTAGCCAAGATGGACCAGCATAGGCAGCATTTGGTTTGATCAAGTAAATTCCACCATATCACAGTCATTGGCTTCTTTATTTGGACAGCAGGCACCTACTAGCAACAGTCACGAGAAATGGTAAAAGGTACTGACTGCACAGTAGGTGACTGTACTTCCACAGATGCTGCTTTTCCTAGTTTATAGGGATGCTCTTCAAGGAAATCCTTATCAACAAGAACCTTTAGGAACAATGAATAAAGACTGCTTGATAATGAAAATGTATGAAGAAAGCGATATTGAAAGTTTTAACAAAAGTAGTAGAAAGGATTAGAATGTAAGGCATGAATGAAAGTTGAAGAGATTAGAATGAAAGCGATATTGAAAGTTAGCTGAAGAGATCCCCTCCAAAACTCCTGAATAAATCCATACGTTCAGGCGAGCAATTTCATTAATTAAAATAATCAGCGGGAAACTTGAACCTGAATAATGTTGATGAACCTGAAGACATTTCATACAGGTTCAATCAGGACTAAACCAATTCTGTTCTCGCAATAGACACCACCCAGATGCTGCAAAGGCAACAAATCAAACGAGACTGTTTGATAATTTTAATCAGAAGGGAAATGAACGATATTCCCCCTTGTATAGCTGTTGAAAAAAAAATGCATTTAGAACCATAAGTTAGGATATCTGGCAGACAAATCAACAACGTCCAAGGATCATTGCAAATGGAGATGTTAAATATAAATATAAGATATGCTCGACGTGTAAAAATAAATTATGCATACGATTAATATCACCATCCAAATATTACAATATCACACGAAATCAGAAGGAAAAGTAGAAACTTCCCGCCCGACTTTTCCAGTTGAGCAAGTATGTTCGTCACCAATAAATGGGAATGTTTTTGCCAGTTGCAGCAAATAGAAAGCTTACAAATAGAACATTGAACTCCATGCTCACCAAATATGCGAAAAACTCCAACCAAAAATATATGGTCTGCTAGTACATTTTCACTCAACTAAAAAACACACAAAATATGACAAACAGAAAGAAAAGGAAAAGGATCAAGAGCGGATTCAGGAATGATGTCTCCTCTGAAGAGTACTCGGCAGAGGATGTCAAGCAGAAAGCAACACGAGAGGAATTGCGTGTACAATCAAAAGACGCAGCGCGAGGTTGAAGGATGAGGACACAAGGGAGGGACAATTTCTAGGAAGGAAACGGGCTTTAGATTTTCGATAGCAATGATCTGAAGTGAGCGTACACGTTGCATGGAAAGAACCATGACAGTTCCTACATCGACCAAACTCTGACCTCGGACATCATCGGAAAATAACAAGACTGGAGACACAAACTCCATTCAAACCAATAACTGCCTCGAAAAGCGGTAGCTTTATCTGATTGTCAAAGATCATCAACTCGACATCAAAAATATAACGCAACAGATCACCACTTCTCAAGCCCGGCAAGATCGCAACATGTAAAAGAATTGGAACAGATCCTAGATAAAAAGCCGGAAAACAAATTTCAATCAAAACCAATAAATACCCAGAAGGTTATCCAAACTTAGTCCATCCCCGGACAAACGCTTTGTTTTATGGAACAAACTGACCTGTCATCGCCCTTAGACAACATCCTCGGACAAGCTGTTCGCTCCAAGGGAAAAAAGAATCCACCGCGAACTCACCAAACAACGAAGTCCAGAAGCAGGTCATAAAACAATCAAACGGAAAAAATAGCAACGTTGGATACGGGCTTTAGATTTTCAATAGCAATGATCTGAAGTGAGCGTAAACGTTGCATGGAAAGAACCATGACAGTTCATACATCGACCAAACTCTGACCTCGGAAAGAAAGAGAATGGTTTTCGCATCAATCGGAAAATAACAAGACTGGAGACACAAACTCCATTCAAACCATTAACTGTCAGGGATCATCAACTCGACATCACAAAGATAACGCAACAGATCACCACTTCTCAAGCCCGGCAAGATCGCAACATGTAAGTTCATCAAAACCGATAAATACCCAGAAGGTTATCAAAATTTAGTCCATCGCCGGTCTAAGATGTGAGTTCATCATCTCTACCAACAAAAGACAGCAAAACAGATCCTCAGTCCTCCAAAAAGCCCAAACGCTTCGTTTTATGAAACAAACTGACCTGTGTTGCCATTCATCGCCCTTAGACAACATCCTCGGACAAGCTGTTCGCTCCAAGCGAAAAGAATCCACCGCGAATTCTCCAAACAACGAAGTCCAGAAGCAGGTCACAAAACTGAAAAAAACGGAAAAAAAAAAATCAACGTTCAGAGGAGCTAAACCAAAGACATCCCCAAACGAAGAGGAGAAAGGCCAACCTGCCAAGTCACCGAATAACCGAAAAATTCAGAACGACAACGCAAAGACCGATCGGTCGAGGCCAAGCGAACGCACTCGTGAATCTCCGCAGCGCAAGTGGACTAAGTCTCTCTGCAACCAGAAGCTTCACAGAATCAGACCGAGAGAAAGCAATCGGACCCATCAAACAATCTGTCGAAGACAGAAACGGAAGAAGAGACTGATCTTCTCCGAAGAGGGATTTCGCAGAGAGAGAGAGAGAGAGAGAGAGAGCGTATGAGGAGCAGAGGAAGGACGATGGGGTTTTATAGAGGAAGGGAGCTCCCAACGGTCCCAACGGTCACATGGGCCTCCCAACGGTCTCCCGCAACGGTCCCAACGGTCACATGGGTCTCCCAACGGTCATATTTTTAATAAGGATTATTCTTTATTTCGAAATAGAGCCGTTACCTCTAACAGATTCCGTTGGAAAATTTAATAATAAATTATAGCTCTAATTAACATTACTTTTTCGTGTGGAATTGGTCGCCTCTTTCTAATATATTATTATATGGCATGAAATTAAAGAGTTGGTAATAATTTTACTTATTATGTTGTTGCGACATAAATTTGTTGGTATACCCGATATTAAAGTGTACTTTAAATTTAAATGAGTAAAAATTATTATGTTGATTAGGGACCTTTCTTATCATACATAACATTTAATGTCGGCTAAAATTTTTTTTTATCATGAAACACGTGAATTTTTCAAATTATTTGTTATTTTTTTAAGATATTAAAATTTTGAAAAAAAAAGAAAAGAAAAAGAAAACTTTTGCTGTGGCCCTTAAAGTGGCCCTTAATTTTGAAGCGCAAGTGCTAGGAAAAGGACTCCAATTTTCCCTTTAGCAATTGTTGTTTAACTTCCTACTCCATCGGGTCAAGTTTTGCTGTTTCCTTGTCACTCTTCACAAGAACACGCCCTGCTTGACACGTACAAATTCCGGCTCAAACCTTGTCCTATCTTTTCGACCTACGAAACTCACAAGATATAAATACTTGTGTCGTACCAAGCTGACGTGAATCGATGTGTTTAAGAAATTTTCCTTTTCGCTTTTCTTTCTTCATCGCTTGAAAATTGATGCTCGTACTAAAATGCAAAGTGAGTAAATTTGGTTCCCTGAACATAATCAGCCAAAAACTAATAAGAGCACGAGCATAAGCCATAAACCATAATTGTTTTTTTGCCAAAAAGGAGTGACATAGTAGTTATGGTCCATTTTAAAATCGAAATAACAAAGGAAATCATATATATAAAGTGAGAATTTGTTAAGCAGCACGAATTCTTAAGAGAGAGATGGAGGTCAAATTGAGAGGATGAGGCCTCTAATTTATGGATGTGTTTGTTTTATGAAAAATAAATAATTTGATAACTATCTTCCTAAAATTAATTATTTGTATCGCTTATAAAAATAAATAAACGTAAAATAGTTTTGTCCTTCACAAAAATGTTTGAATATTTCAATAATGGAAATACTTTTTATTAATTAATTATTTCAATAAATAAGAACCGCGAGAGCGAATTGAAAGCCTTCGACGCCTCGAGGACCGGCGTGAAAGGCCTCGTCGACGCCGGAGTCTCCAAGCTCCCTCGCATCTTCGTCGGTGATCGCCGGCCCCGATAGCCCGACCGCTCTGATCCCGCCGAGACGAGCTCCGGCATCCCGATCGTGGACTTGGAAGGAGCTCATGAAGATCCCAGCAAGCGCGGGGAGATGATCCGCAGAGTCGGCCGGGCGTGCGAGGACTGGGGGATTCCTCCAGGTGGTGAATCACGGGATCGGAGATGGCGTCCTGAGCGGAATCCTCGACAGCGTGAGAAGGTTTCACCAGCAGGAGAGCGAGGCGAAGATGGAGTTGTACTCTAGAGATCTGTCGAAGAAGGTGCTTTTTAACACCAACTTCGATTTCTACAGCGCACCGGTCGCGAATTGGAGGGATTCGCTGTACTGTGCCCTGGCTCCTCACCCGCCGAGTCCGGAAGAGCTTCCTCAAGTTTGCAGGTAACCTGTTTGCGAAAATGCTAGTGCTCCAAATTTCGACAATGGTTCTAGTTTTCACCGTCGGAGTTCCCATCAGGAGGCTAGAGCGTAGGGTGATGTCTTTCTTGCTGGAATTAGTAACTTCATTTTGAAGAAATTTGATTTGCCATCTGTATAATTCTCACTGAATTCGAATAGGTCATTTCATCAACTATTCTAGACCAGGAAAAAGAGAGAGAGAAGATGACGCAGCACCGTTAAGTTTCCTCTATTTTCAACTTGTTCTACTACTGACTTAGACCATGAGTTTGTCTCCAACTTGTAATCATGAGCAGTTCTATTGTCAAAGTGCTTTTTATGCTGATTGAAAAACTAGACCAGGTCGTTCTGTTTATCCAAGGATAATTTTGAGCTCCAGACTGGTTGATATTATTAAACCGGAGTCTGTCAAAACCGGGTTGACCTGGCTACCGGCTGTTTTAGCAGGAGCATGTTAGTTTCATGAAAATTACTGCTGCACCTTTTGGTCAAACCCACCCCATGAGCAAGTGATTGCCTGCAGCAAGCCGCTCGGCTTTGGCTTCTGTAGGTACATGTCAATGAAATTGAGACACCAAGAACTCAAATTTTGGACTGAATGAGCGCCCTTTACCATATTGGCAGACGCATCCACTATCTTGGGCAAAGCTAATATGGGAATAGGAGCTTTTATTTGGTTATTACTTATGTTGGTGCTCCTAGCCAAGCTAATGGAATCCAGAGTAAGTAATTTTAGTGTAGTGTCCACGGACCAATTGAGAACAGTGCTTCAGTTCATACACACAAAGTTGTTCATGAATGTAAGATATAGTACTAATTTTCCACGTGCTCCGCTTGCAGAGATGTAATAATGGAATATTCAAATCAACTGAGGAGACTGGGGCTTACCATCTTCGAACTGCTATCAGAAGCTCTGGGACTGAATCCCAAGCATCTTGAAGACATGGGCTGTGCTGATGGACTGTACTTCGTTGGACACTATTATCCAATATGTCCTGAGCCAGACTTGACTCAAGGTCTAAGCAAGCACACGGATAGCGCCTTCCTCGGGGTGGTATTGCAAGACCAAACTGGTGGCCTACAAGTCCTCCATGAAAATCACTGGGTAGATGTTAGCCCCATTCATGGTGCTCTCGTGGTGAACCTGGGTGACATGTCCCAGGTAAGCTGGTTTGACATGGTTTACTATGTTTGATTGTTTGCATATACTCCTTCCAATATTCCAGCATGAAGCCACTGCTAGGCAATAAGAACCTCAACTCCCACGTGTTCGAGTCCCTTTTGATTGCATATGATGACCTGCGATAATCCGCTATAGTTTGGCCTTTTACTTCTACGATATCTGTTGGACCAAGTTATCCAAGATCTGATTATGGATTGACAGATATTTCCAAAGACACTTGAGAAATACTTGAATTGTTCACTGCTTGTGCCAATGTCATGTTTCATTAAATTTTCTGAAGTGCGACAATTGTAGGTGTAAGAGGACTTTGGGGTTTGCATGAAGAGTGGTTGTAGAAGTAAATCTTCTGAAAGCATATGGAAAGCATAGTCTGGATAATGGAGGTCCAAAAAATGTTCTATCCGTTAAAAAAAATGGTTTTTATGCTGAAGGAGGCATGCGGGTTTGACATATGCTAGAAACTTTCTATTTCTTCATATTTTTCTAATAAAAAAATTTTTCTGTTGGCTGCTTGAAATTAAATTTGAGGTCAACATTGGTCTTTTCAATGATGTGGGCGTGCTGGTATTATACATATACAACTTGCTTATGCTTGTAGGAGTAGGGCAATGTTCAGGCCATTTTGGTTTGGCAATTTTGTTACTTTCTGGATCAGAATATCCAGTCTCATTTTACTGATAAGTAGGGTTTCAAATCTACGACGAAAGATGCCGATACTAATTCATTCTTCTTAATGGCTTGAATGGTGAAGATACATGATTTCCCGTGACCCGTTATCGCAAGTTATTAGTATTGTTTTGGAAAAGTGCAGTCTACACCAAACTATTTGTATCTGTGCATCTGACATTCTCAGTTAGAAAAGATTGATTAGCTAATAGATTTGGCTATCTTTTGTGCAGCTAATCACCACTGGTAAGTTCAAAAGCGTCTATCATAGAGTATTGGCAAAGAGCGTAGGACCGAGAATCTCGGTGGCCTGTTTCTTCAGAACACATCTTGAACAAGAGGATTCTCCCAGAAAATATGGGCCAATTAAGGAGTTGTTACCAGAACAAAACCCCCCGGTCTATCGAGAAACGTCTGTGGAAGACATTCTCAAATGTTTACTCTCCAAAGGTCTTGATGGGGTTCCTGTATTAGATCATTTAAAGTTGTGAAGAGTAGTCTATTTCATACAATACAAAATTCTTCATGAATGTATGATATAATATCCATTTTCTGCACTATTTGCTTAGACATTGTTCGAGCAGAGTGGACGCCAACGCCTCCGCATGCTTGTAGTATTCCATTATCGCATCCCGGGATAGGTTGTGGGTACCAAAAATTTGAGAATTGGTCGAATATGACGAGACAGTCTCTATTTCCATCCAAGGAAATCGGAGAGGCCTTTCACGCCCGATTTTGATTCATCGAAGTCTCTGAGCTCTTGATATCGGCCGTAGGTCAATGGGGTGATGTCTGTTGAATCATCGGCGACCTCCATTTTCGTACCTTGCTTTGGTTAGTTATTGAGCAAGATGGACAAGTTACAAGTGATATAGAGGTTGATGGTCCAATGAGTAACTCAACAAAGGGTGTGTAGGTTCTCTTGTTGGTTTTGGACGGAAAACTAATTGATATGAAATTTGAAGTACGAACACTTGGGAATAATCGTTGCCGGCGATATATATTGCAAGGAAGTAAAGAAAAAGATAAATTTACAAAACGACCTACAATCAATGGTTACAATTTGTTACTGCGAAATAAAACATGCCATGTGTAGCTCTTACTATTTAGCAATACTTATCCACAAATGGCCACATCCGAAATTGTCGACTCAACTACTTGACGGTTACATCAACTCAACTACTTTGATGGTTACATGCCGATGTCAATGGCCTCGTCGATTGGTGAAGGCTCTACTAGATAACTTGTTATGTGTGTTATTGATGACTTTACTAGCAAGTTGTTGATTCTCTTGAAGTTGTCGACTGTTCTATTCATAACTTTTGTTTTCACCATACACGACTCTTGTAAATTGAATGATCGATAAATCACTTGATCCTTCTTTATTTAAATAATAAAGAGTCATCATATGCCCTCTTATTTTTCACAAATGTGATTTTTCCTTGCCGAGTTGCTAGGGGTGATCGGTTCCCAGTTCCCAATTTTGAGAACTGGGGACCGAACCAATTAGACCAAACTGGTCCAATGTAATTGGCCGCTTTTTTATTTGTTTTCCCACCATAACGAGAAAGTGTGACAAATTTTAAAGTTATACGAGAATTTAGTTTATATTTTACTAATTTTTTTGAAAATTTTAAAAAAGTTTACATAATCGGTCCGATTCCTGGTCCATTTGGAAATAACTGGCCAATTTCCGATCTGAGCTATCTGTTTTGCACGGCCCTAGAAGTTGCCTCTAGAATTGTTTTCTTGAAAACTTTACTAGATCATGGGCCACTCGCAATATTTTTTTGTTTACTAAAATCTTTCTTTACTTTGACTTACATGACCTTCTTCCACGTACACCGTCACGGTCACACACAGAAACCTTCGCCGATCAACAATGGTAGCGACCGACTCCGGCGAAGCCCCCGTCCTAGCAGAGCCCGGCTACGACCGCGAGAGCGAATTGAAGGCCTTCGACGCCTCGAGGACCGGCGTGAAGGGCCTCGTCGAGTCTCCAAGCTCCCCCGAATCTTCGTCGATGACCGCCGGCCCCGGTCGCCCGGCGGCTCCGATCCCGCCGGGACGAGCTCCGGCATCCCGATCGTGGACTTGGAAGGAGCTCACGAAGATCCCGGCAAGCGCGGGGAGATGATCCGCAGAGTCGGCCGGGTGTGCGAGGACTGGGGCTTCTTCCAGGTGGTGAATCACGGGATCGGAGATGGCGTCCTGAGCGGAATCATCGACGGCGTCAGGAGGTTCCACGAGCAGGAGAGCGAGGTGAAGATGGAGTTGTACTCTAGAGATCAGTCGAAGAAGGTGCTTTTCAACACCAACTTCGATCTCTACAGAGCACCGGTCGCGAATTGGAGGGATTCGCTGTACTGTGCTGTGGCTCCTCACCCGCCGAGTCCGGAAGAGCTTCCTCGGGTTTGCAGGTAAACCTGTTCGCGAAAATGCCAGTGCTCCATATTGCGACAATCAATATGATCGAGTCATACGTACAAAGCTATTCATGAATGTAAGATGTTTGATCAATTTTCCACGGCGCTCTGCTTGCAGAGATGTAATAATGGAATATTCAAATCAACTAATGAGACTGGGGCTTACCATCTTCGAACTGCTATCAGAAGCTCTGGGACTGAATCCCAAGCATCTTGAAGACATGGGCTGTGCCGAAGGGCTGTACTTCATTGGACACTACTATCCAACATGTCCTGAGCCAGACTTGACTCAAGGTCTAAGCAAGCACACGGATAGCGCCTTCCTCACGGTGGTGTTGCAAGACCAAACTGGTGGCCTTCAAGTCCTCCATGAAAATCATTGGGTAGATGTCGACCCCGTTCATGGTGCGCTCGTGGTGAACCTGGGCGGCATGTTGCAGGTAAGCTGGTTCGACATGGTTCTTTACTTAATGGGCTTCCTGTGTTTGATTGTTTGCATATACTCCTTCCAATATTTCAGCATGATGCGACTGCTCGGCAACAAGAACTCAACTCCCTCGTGATCAATTCCCTTTTTGTTGCATTCGATGACCTGCGATAATCCGCTATCTTTGGGCCTTCACATTTATGAGATTTATTTGGACTAGGTTATCCAAGAACTGAATATGGATTGATTGATATTTCCAAAAACACCTGAGAAATACTGGAATAGTTCACTGCTTGTGCCAATCACGGCATTTATCGTGTTTCATAAAATTTTCTGATGTGTAACAATGGTAGGAGTAAGAGGACTTTGTGCTTTGTGTGAAGAGTGGTTTAGAAGTATTTCTTCCGAAAGATATGGATAATGGAGGTCCCAAAAATGTTCTCTCCCTTCAAAAAAATTGGTTTTTAGGCTGAAGGAGGCATGCTGATGTAAGATCTGCTAGAAAACTGTCCATTCTTCACTTTTTTTCTGATAAAAGAATTTTTGTGTTGCCTGCTTGAAAATAAGTTTTGAGTTCAACATTGGTCTTTTCAATGATGTGGGCATACTGGTTTTATACAACTTGCTTATGCTTGTCGGAGTAGGGAATGTTCAGGCAATTTTGTCACTTACTGGATCAGTATATCCAAGCTCAAGTTCCTGATAACTAGTAGGGTTTCAAATCCATAACGAGAGGTGCTTGTACTAATGCAATCTTCTTAATGGCTTGAATGATGAAGATATATCATTAGCTTGACTCATTAGTGCAAGTTACTAGTATTGTTCTTGAAAGTGCAGTCTTCAGTAAACTATCTGTATCTGTGCATTTGAAATTCTTAGAGAGAGAAGATTGATTAGCTCATAGATTTGGCTATCTTTTGTGCAGCTAATCACTAATGGTAAGTTCAAAAGCGTCTATCACAGAGTATTGGCAAAGAACGTACGACCGAGAATCTCGGTGGCCTGTTTCTTCAGAACACATTTTGAACAAGGGAATTCTCCCAGAAAATATGGGCCAATTAAGGAGTTGTTATCGGAACAGAACCCTCCAGTCTATCGAGAAACGTCTGTGAAAGACTATGTCAAATACATATACTCAAAAGGTCTTGATGGGGTTCCTGCTATAGATCATTTAAAGTTGTGAAGAGGAATTGAATCGAAGTTAGTGCCTGTGCCAAATGGCATGGATGACAAAAATTAGACCATATGCCCAAGCTATGGTTTTCTTTAGTCCCATATGTGTATTAATTGCAGCTTAGAGAGAGCTGCTGAACTTGTATCCAGTAAATACTGTTCACCGCTCCCAACTTCACGACTGTCACTATTAACATATGTTTGGCAGGCAATGGTCAGGGCGGCGGCGTGGCGGCGGCGGCGGCAGCATTAGTGGAGCAGGGTGGGGTTAAAAATAATATTTTCTTGTAGGATTTGATAAATGTTTGATCTAGGGGTATAATCAAGTCGACACACAGTCAATACGAGCATCAAACTTGACTCGAATAATCAAGGCTGGATACTCAGCTCGAGCTAAATCGAGCTTGATTATTCAAAACTAGGATAAAGTTTCGGCAAAGTGGAGCTTCATTATTCCAACAGTGTAATTGTGTGTTAGAGACGCTAGCTAAAGTACTTGCCTAAGTTGGTGTTGAGGTCTAACAGACGGATGGTAGAATATCCTGTTTAGAACTGTGGAACTTCCAGTTGCTCTTGCGACATTAACTGAGCCAAGTCAGTTCTGTCAATTGATTTTTCCATGGAAGTGTGTCATTGGCGAGCTTTGTTTTCATGTTATGGACTATTAATTGTCCTAAGTGTCAAAAAAACGGTCAGACTAATTTACATGCCCAAATCATAAGGAAGACCACTCTTTTGAAATCGGTCTGGTGGCGCTTTATCTTCTAGCTTCACATCTGTGGCCGTGTGACCGATGATGCGGGGCAACAGGCAAAGTTGCCGCGCGGCATCGCTTGGTTGAATCGAAGTAATTTCATATCGACTGCTCGGTGCCATTAACAATCTAAACGTCGATAACGTTTCATGTCGACCGGTAGTTTGGGGCGGATAAAATTGCCATTCAATCCTTCTGTGCGAATTGCTGGTGTAACGAAAGCTGCTCCAATCTCCAGAATTAGTGTTTCGGCAAAAATTGAGGAGACTAAAAAAAGAAGCGGATAAGAATGGTGGTCAGCATGGGACTCCAATAATTGTGTCAAAGCTATGGAAGTAACGATGTATAACGATGGAATAAAAGATTGAGATAGAAACTTTAATAATATGAGTGTGGAACCTTCCTTTTTACTCGCACGATTTGAAAACAAAAAATTGAAGAGTAAAATTGGAAGTTAATGAAGAAGAAACTCCCACTTTGGAGTTTACAGGTTTAGGAGGAAACGATATAATTTATTTTCTCCCAGCGATGATCGCCGTGTCAATGACCGTGACCGTTGGGCTAACACATTTTAAAAAAATGGCGGTCGCCGTCGCCATCGGCGTCTCCAACGTCCTCTGCGCTCCTGTGCATCCAAATCCCTTCCATTTCACCACCTCCTGTAACCGAAAACCGAGCTCTCACAGAACTTTCGCCGATCAACATGGCAGCGACCAACTCCGGCGAAGTCCCCATCCAAGCAGAGCCCGAATACGATCGCGAGAGCGAATTGAAAGCCTTTGATGCCTCAAGGACCGGCGTGAAAGGCCTCGTCGATGCCGGCGTCTCCAAGCTACCTCGTATCTTCACCAATCGCCGGCCTCAGTCGCCCGGCCGCTCCGATCCCGCCGGGACAAGCTTCAGCATCCCGATCGTGGACTTGGAAGGAGTTCATGAAGATCCCAGCAAGCGCAGGGAGATAGTCCGCAGAGTTGGCGAGGCGTGCGAGGACTGGGGCTTCTTCCAGGTGGTGAATCACCGGGTCGGAGATGACGTCCTGAGCGGAATCATTGACGGCGTCAGGAGTTTTCACGAGCAGGATAGTGAGGTGAAGGAGGAGTTGTATTCTAGAGATCAGTCGAAGAAGGTGATTTTTAACACCAACTTCGATTTCTACAGAGCGCCGGTCGCGAATTGGAGGGATTCGCTGTGCTGTGTGATGGCTCCTTACCCGCCGACTCCGGAAGAGCTTCCTCGAGTTTGCAGGTAGCCTGTTCTACTGCTAACTTAGCGGATGAGTTTGCCTCAACTTGAATCATGAGCAATTCTACTACCAAAGTGCTTCTTATACAGATTTAAAAACTAGACCAGGTAAGTTCTGTTTCTCTGGTTGATACCATCAAACCGAAGTCTGTCAAAACCAGGATTGAACTGGTTGCCACCCATTTTAGCTGCAGCATGTCAGTTTCATAAAGAAACAAAAGAAATTGAACTTTACCTGCTCCGCCTGTTGGTCTACCAGCCCAGGAGCAAGTGATTGCCTGCAGCAAGGCACTCGGTTGGGGCTTTTGTAGCTTCATGTTATTGAAATCGAGACCTCTAGAACTCAAACTTGCGACTGATGAGTGCCCTTTACCATTTTGGCAAAAAGTATCCTCTATCTTGGGCGAAGCTCATGTGGGAGTGGGAGCTTTTCTCGGTTATTACTTATGTTGGGGCTTCTAGCCAGGCTAATGGACTCCAGAGTCAGTCATTTTAGTGTGATGTCCACAGACCAATTGAGCATAGTGCTTCAATTCATACATACAAAGCTATTCATGCATGTAAGATTATCATCAATTTTCCGCATGCTCTGCTTGTAGAGATATAATAAGGGAATATTCAGATCAAGTGATGAGACTGGGGCTTACCATCTTCAAACTGCTATCAGAAGCTTTGGGACTCATTCCCGAGCATCTTGAGGACATGGGCTGTGCTGAAGGACTGTACCTCATTGGACACTATTATCCAATATGTCCTGAGCCAGACTTGACTCAAGGTCATACCAAGCACACGGATAGCTCCTTCCTGACAGTGGTATTGCAAGACCAAACTGGTGGCCTTCAAGTCCTCCATGAAAATCACTGGGTAGATGTTGAGCCCATTCATGGTGCTCTCGTGGTGAACCTGGGTGACATGTTACAGGTAAGTGGGTTTGACATGGTTGTTCTTAATGAGTTTCCTATCTTTCGTTGTTTGCATATACCCCTTCCGATATTCCGGCATGAGCAACTGCAAGGCAACAAGAACCTCAACTCCCTCGTGATGACCTGCGATAGTTCACTATTGTTCGGCCTTCACCGTCACGAAATCTATTTGGCAGAACTGAATATGGATTGATTGATATCTCCGAAAACATTTAAGAAATAATTGAATAGTTCATTGCTTGTGCCAATCACGGCATTTATCATGTTTCATAACATATTCTTAAGTGTAACAATCGTAGGAGTAAGAGGACTTCAAATCCATCGTAGAAGATGCTGGTACTATTTTATTCTTCTCAATAACTCGAATGATGAAGATATATTATTCCAGTGGCTTGTTATTGCAAGCAATGAGTATTGTTCTTGAAAGCTCAGTCTTCACGAAGCTATCTTTATCTGTGCATTCGACATTCTCAGAGAGAGAGAGAGAGAGAGGATTGATTAGCTAATAGATTTGGCTATCTTTTGTGCAGCTCATCACCAATGGTGAGTTCAAAAGCGTCCATCACAGAGTACTGGCAAAGAACGTCGGACCGAGAATCTCGGTTGCCTGCTTCTTTAGAACACATTTTGGGCAAGAGGGTTCTCCCAGAAAGTACGGGCCGATTAAGGAGTTGTTATCAGAAGAAAACCCTCCGGTCTATCGAGAAACGTCCGTGAAAGACTATATCAGATATATATACTCGAAAGGTCTTGACGGGGTTCCTGCAATAGATCATTTAAAGCTGTGAAGAGTAATCAATCTGAAGTTGGTTCCCGCACAGGATGGGCGTGGATGACAAAATCAGGCCATATGCCCAACTCATGGTTTTGCTTTAGTTCCAGATGTGTTGTAATTGCAGCTTAGAGAGCTGCTGAATTTGTATCCAATAAGGCTGTAAATAGTGTTCACTGTTTGATAGGATAATAATATTTCTTATTATGTTTAATGAAAGAATCACAATATATATATATATATATATATATATATATATATATATATATATATATTCTTAACATAATGTAAACCCCTCTAAACACAATATTACAATTCTACCCTCATTATCACAATTCTAACACTCCCCCTCAAGTTGGGACGTAAATGTCAAATAGTCCCAACTTGTTACATAAAAAAATCACTCTATTCCCTCGTAGGGATTTTGTAAAAAAAAATCTGCCAGTTGATCCTTTGTCCTTGCATGTTGAAGAATGATTTCCTCTTTCTAGACCTTCTCTCGTATAAAGTGACAATCAACCTCAATATGTTTGGTTCGCTCATGGAAGATAGGATTGTTCGCAATATGTATGGCTAATTGATTATCACAATATAATGTTGATGGATCTAATGTTGACACATCAATTTCTGACAATAACATCCTTAATCAAATCAATTCACCTGTCACATGTGCCATAACTCTATATTTTGCTTCAACACTAGATCGGGAAACCACATGTTGTTTTTTACTTTTCCAGGAAACTAAATTACCTCCAAGAAATATGCAATACCCTAATGTAGATCTCCTATCAGTAGGACATCCAGCCCAACCTACGTCAGAGAATCCTGTAGTTTTCAGATGACCATAATTCTTAAAAAGTAGTCATTTACTTGGTGTTCCCTTCAAGTACTTAATAATTCTTGATACATCATTCCAGTGAGTAATACGAGGAGAACTCATAAACTGACTCACTACACTGATAGCAAAGGATATATTAGGCCTTGTAACAGTAAGGTAATTCAACTTACCCACTAATCTTCGATATTTGACTGGATCATATAACAGTTCTCCATTTTCAGCATCAAGTTTCACATTAGGCTCCATAGGTGTATCAACTGGTTTTGCTCCAAGATATTCGACCTCATTAAGAATATCAATCACATATTTTTGTCGTGATAAATTGATACCTGCCCGTGAGTAGGCAACTTCAATCCCAAGAAAATATCGTAGACGTCCCAAATCTTTAGTATTAAATTCTATATGCAAAAACTGGTTAAGTAGTTGAATACCATTCGAATCACTACCAGTGATAATAATATCATCCATATATATCACCAGAAAAACACAACCAGCTAAGAAAACAGAACTAAACACTGAATGATCTACTTGACATTGTTTTAACCCAAACTTGATAACTGCATCAGTGAATTTACCAAACCAAGCACGAGGAGACTGTTTGAGTCCATATAAGGTCTTATATAAACGACAGACCAGATTCTCCCCTTGAGCAACAAACCCAGGTGGTTGCTCCATATATACTTCTTCAGCCAAATCACCATGTAAAAAGGCATTTTTGACATCCAATTGATGAAGATGCCAGCCAAAGCGTGCTGCCAGGGAAATAAAAACACGAACAGATGGAATTTTGGCAACAGGTGAGAAAGTATCATCATAATCAATACCATATGTTGAGTATATCCTTTGGCAACTAACCAAGCGTTCAATCGATCGAGAGAACCATCAGGATGAACCTTAACGGTGAAAACCCAACGACAACCAACAGGTTATTTGCCTTTAGGTAATGATGTGAGCTGCCAAGTATAATTCTCAAGAAGGGCCTTCATTTCATCTTCCATGGCTTGTCGCCATCCAAGATGAGCAAGAGCTTCAGTAACACTACTAGGCACAGAAATAGAGGACAAAGACAAGACAAAGATAGAAAAGGCAGGAGACAAACGATCATATGATAAGAAATTGGACATTGGATGATGAGTACGAAGACGTGAAGAAGAAAGGTCAGAAAAGTGAGCATAGCAATCAACAGGACGACCCGCACAGGAACGTGTACCTTTCTGAAGAGCAATAGGTGAATCAGGATCGGAGGATGGTGCTACAATTGATGGAGGAACAGATGAATCAGATGTCTGTAGGACCTGTACTACCGTGAAAGGAGCTGTAGCACGCCGTTGATATGTGCGCTCAACAAATTGAAATCCTATTGATGGTGCTTGAGGTATAGAGAGTGGAGGAAGTGCTGGGAGGACACACCCGCCACCCTCTGTACCACCGTAGGATCTGACTGAGTATCATAATAAGCTTGATCCTCAAAGAAAGTCACATAAGCTGACACAAACAGATGGCAACAAGTAGGACTATAGCATTTATAGCCCTTTTGAGTTCGAGAGTGCTCTACAAAGATACATTTCTTAGCACGAGAATCTAATTTATCAAGACCCGGAGAAAGACGATGAACATAGCAAATACAACCGAAGACACGCAAAGGTAATGCAAAGGGAGGAAGATCTAGATGAAAAATAGAAAATTGTGTCTCCCCCTGAAGAACAGAAATTGGAAGCTGATTAATCAAGTAACATGTTGTAAGTAGAGCATGGCCCCAAAAATGTTTAAGGAGATGCATATGAAACATAAGACAACGAACAACAACAAGAAGATGACGATTTTTGCGTTCGGCTACACCATTTTGCGGTGGAGTATATGAACACGATGTTTGATGAAGAATATCATGAGATTCAAGAAAGGATTTAAAACCAATAGAGGAGGCAAGATATTCTTTGGCATTATCTGATCATAAAGTTTTAACAGACGTGTTATACTGATTCAATACTTTAAAGTAAAATAGGCAAAAGCAATGAAAAATCTCAGTACGATGTTTTATTAAGAACAACCAAGTCATTCGAGAAAAATCATCCATGAATGTAACAAAGCATCTAAAACCAGAAGTATTAGAAACACGACACGGACCCCACACATATGAATGAACTAACTTAAATGGAGTGTGAGCCATCAGATCTGGATTCGCCGAATTGAGTCGCCAATGTGGGTTCGCCGGAGAGTATTGGCGACAGTTAGGATTGGTTACCTCAAAAAAAAATTAGGGTTTCTCAACCCGCTCTGATATCATGTTTGAAAGGATAATGATATTTCTTATTATGTTTAATGAAGGAATTACAGTATATATTTACTTAACATGATGTAAACCCCTCTAAACACGATATTGCAATTCTACTCTCATTATCATAATTTTAACATTCACCATTCTCGACTTCGTGACCATCACTATTACCACATGTTTGCCGGGCAACGAAGGCGGTTAAAAAATTGATATCTTCTTGCATGATTGGAGACACGTTTGATCTAGGGGTACAATCAAGTCGAGTCGACTTGAGTCAATGCAAAGTCCAATGCTCGAGCCCAACTCGACTTCAATCTTCAAGGCTTGATACTCTGCCCGAGCTAAATCGAGCTTGATTTTTTAACTCCAGCTCAACTCAAATAAAGTTTTGGTAAAGTAGAGCTTGACTCTACTCGTCTTGATCGGTTGATACAGTGGACTCGAAACTTGAATTAAACTGGAACTCTAGCTTATATTCTTAGGATGCACTACAATTTAAAATTTGATAATCTTTATCTATTTATTCATATGATAAAGTTTTTTTTTTTTTATGACCCGGGAACCGCCGTACAGCCGACAGCCGGCGACGTAAACCCGGGGTGACGCTAGCGCAGGACCCACCACCATGGCGCCACACTTAAGAATCCCTAACGACTACGCTGGGATTCGAACTCCCCACCCTTCGTGAGGGGCAGAGAGCGCGAATTAACGTAGCCGCTGCGGGCGGTGGTAAAAAGTTTATACATATATATTTACAACATATAAAAATGTTAGAGATAATGGTATCACAAGCACTTGAAGTTCTATCTCTTCTTTAGCTCTCGTGTGCCCTGTTCCGTATATCGTTGAATGCTATTTTGATAGCCGTTTGCGTTCCATATTAAACTTGAATTCAAAATTATTTAAAAGGATAAACTAATTATCAATACCAAGATAGACATATAAATGAATTTATCAGAGTAATTATATTTATAATGGCCGATGTTGGTGCTGTGGTAAAAATCATAGTAGTAGTTTATTGTAAAGAATTATTGCTAAAGATAATTATTGAATCTAACAGAACAATTAGTATTTTCATACGAAATTTTTTACTTGTTAATTATACTAGCCAAAACATACGTGCGTGGCCCGTGAAGCCACCTTAGTTTATGTAGAAGTTATTTCAAATTGGAGGATAATAAAATCAAAGCAGTGACATAATAAGATGAGAGTAATTGCATGGATACTAAAAATTCTTCACATGACAAATGTAAACTTAATCAAAAGTACAGAATCAATTTTTATGACACGAAACTGAAAACATAATAAAGATTAACTTTTTGATTTAATGGAATAATTTTCCTTGTGGTAGATAGGTAAATATTGGGACAATTACCAAAATAGTCCTCGACCTATTACACTAGTCCCGATTCAGTCTTAAATCTTTCAATTATGCCAATTTATTCCTAAACTTTTTCACATTTTGCCAATCGAGTCCATCGGATTAATTTTGGTTGGAAATTACTGATGTGCATGCTGGCCATTTTACATGACATGGCCAGCGCTAACGCAGATATTTTTTAATAACTTTTTGATATTTTTCTGAATTTTTCATAAATTTTTTTGTTTTTTTTTTCTTTTTTCTTTACTATTTTTTGGACTGAGGGCCAGCAAGAGTCGTCGGCACCCAGTGAGGCCCGCAATGCCCTCGTCGGCCACTAGTCAAGGGCTTGCGAGCCCTCGCCGTGGCCGACGAAGGCATGGTGGCCCTCGGCCAGATCTGGTGAGGACAAGAACAATTAGGAGCGTCGCACCCTTGAAGAATTGAAGTGCGAAGAATGCTATGTGATCTGGACTTGCCAGTTTCGTCACGTACTAAGTTCAGTGTCCTTAAAGAGCACTAATGCACCTACAATTGCCGGTTTCGTCACATACTAAGTTCAGTATATATATGTATATCATTCATGTGGCTTGTTATTGCAAGTAACTAGTATTAATCTTGAAAGTGCAGTCTTCAGCAAGCTATCTTTATCTGTGCATTTGACATTTAGAGACACAGTAGATTGATTAGCTGACAGATTTGGCTACCTTTTGTGCAGCTAATCACCAATGGTAAGTTCAAAAGTGTCTGTCACAGAGTACTGGCAAAGAACATAGGACCGAGAATCTCGGTGACCTGTTTCTTCAGAACACATCTTGGGCAAGAGGGTTCTCCCAGAAAGTATGGGCCAATTAAGGAGTTGATATCAGAAGAAAACCGTCCGGTCTATCGAGAAACATCTGCGAAAGACTACGTCAAATATATATACTCGAAAGGTCTTGATGGTGTTCCGGCCATAGATCATTTAAAGTTGTGAAGCGTTAATCAGTTTGAAGTTGGCTCCTGTGCAGAAAGGGCGTGGATGACAAAAATTAGGCCATATGGATCCAGTAAATAGTGTTCACCACTCCCAACTTCTCGACTGTCTGCTATTACCACATGATTGGCAGGCGATGAAGGTGGCTAGGGTGGCGGCGTGGCTGCGACGGCAACGGCAGCAGCTTCAGGCTCGTCCCTAATGCCAAAAGTCCCCATCACCAATTAAATTAGGGGTTTTGAAACTACACAAATGCTTTGCCCAGGTGCGTGTTAGTGCCCGATTTTAGAAAAAGCTTTCCCATAAATGCATAGAGGCAAGAACCCTCTCTGTAATGAATTCTATAAGAGATTATTGTGTTTCAGTCATAGTAGCCGCCGAAACGATTGCCTGGATAAGGAGGAGGGTATGTTGGAATATTAGGTGGGGATCGACGAAGAAGGGTAGGGTTAAAATCAATATTTTGTTGTATGGCTGGATATATGGTTGATCTAGGGATATAATTGAGTCGATTCAAATCGTTACACAGTTCAAGACTCAAGATTTGAGCTTGACTCGACTCGAATACTCAAGACTCGTGCCAAATCGAGCTTATGTATGTACTATTTTCGTTTCGTTACTGTCGAATGTTCATTCCATTTCTCAATATCTCCCCCTCCAAGCCTTCACCTCAACCGTGTTTAGTTACTATCACATATTTAATCTAAAGATTCCTCATCTTTAAATAATTTATATACACCGAGCATGTGGGTTTGGGGCACGTGCGAATGGTAATAATGTCGCTATTAATAATAATAAAAAAAGCAAAAAAAAAAAAAACTCTAAATTATATTCACCGTGATATATTTACTTTAAATTTTTTTCCGTGACATAAAAAATCTCAAACTTGTACATATATAACGCTTTTATCCTCTGTCAAGGTTCTGTCAATGAGTATATTTAAAAATCTACCCAAATGGATGTTGGAAAGCAAACGTTATCGACATGGCACTCACGTGGCCAAAGTGAAATAAAAACGACGTAATTTGCTAGAAAAGGGATTTATGTTCAGAACAATAACTTAGCAAATGCAGGCATTCAATTCGCTCAAGACCGACTTTTATCATCCAGCTAAACCCTTATTCCAAGCACAAGGCATTCCAACCTCAGTTTCTGATGCATAAGATCCTCATGCAAGCGAGTGCATAGCATATTACCAGTATTATTTTACCATTATAAAATCTCTAATACTAGACATAGCATCTGCAATCCGCGTCGCGAAGAATCATAGTACGTCAACTCTTCAAGCTCATTCTCTCTGAGTCATTCGAAGATGGTGCGCGCTGATGATTCGGACGACGCCGATCCGTCGACCTACGATCGCTACCGGGAGCTGAAGCGCTTCGACGATTCCAAAGCGGGCGTCAAGGGCCTCGCCGACTCCGGCATCGCCAAGCTCCCCCGCTTCTTCGTCCGCCCGCCGGAGGACATCGCCGCCGACCAGCCCGGCGGCTCCTCCTCCGGGCTCGAGATCCCGGTGATCGACCTCGGGAGCCTCGCGGCGGGCCGGCCGGCGGCGGTGGCGCGGGTCCTGGCGGCGGCGCGCGAGGTGGGGTTCTTCCGGGTGGTGAACCACGGGGTACCGGAGAGCGCGCTGGCGGGGGCGCTGGCGGCGGCGCGCGCGTTCCACGAGCTGCCGGGGGAGGTGAAGGCGGGGTACTACAGCAGGGAGGCGGGGAGGAAGGTGAAGTTCCGGAGCAACTTCGATCTGTACAAGTCGAAGCACGCGAGTTGGAGGGACACTCTGTTCTGCGTCATGGGGCCTGAGCCGCTCGATCCTCTGGAGTTGCCTCTGGTCTGCAGGTACGAGTTCCTCCAGATTCGCAAATCCATCTTTGATTGAGGACGACAGGTTCTTACATTATCGTGCTCTTGCTGTGAGCTCCGTTGACTTTGAGGACGCTTCTTCGTCTGGGTTACATGTGCTTCAAGAAGATGTAATGATCCTATGGACTGTCATTGTCTGTAGTGTAGAATTCCTACTAGCTAAACTTAAATTGGGGTTCTAAGTTCTTCCTCGACTGCTTTCATGGATGACATTGAAATTGTAGGATGGATTGTCTGCATTTGGTATCTTTGTCATGGTTTTGCCTCCGTAGAACTCTCTGGTCTGGATCATGCTCTTGCAATCTCGAGAAGAAATGGAAGAAAGACGGTAATTTTGCAGGAAAATCGATCCGCTATGTGAGAGATTCAACAGAGGGGAAAGTTTTTTTGTTGGTTCGAGTTTCATGTACTCATCTCTTGTGTGAAATAGTGAGAACTCTGCAGTTTGCTTAACATGGTTTAATAATTTCTCGTGTGAAATGGAGTACAGGGGCTTAACATCGTTGGCGACTGTTCAGCATCTGAATGCTACACAGTAATCTAATCGTGTATTAACTGCAAAATCAATTTGCCTGTGGTTTGTTCAAGACCTCTTAGGTTGTGAAACCGTCGTGAACTTGATGCAGTTCTATAGTTATACTAACAGAAACAAGTTTGTTAATTGGAATAATAGAGCAGGCTGATCCTCGACTCTGTCTAATTTGGCATATGTATTGCAGAGACAAGATGATGGAGTATTCCAAGCAAGTTAAGGCATTAGGGATCACTCTGTTTGAATTGCTATCAGAGGCGCTTGGTCTGAAACCCGACCATCTTGTAAATATGGACTGCGCAAAAGGGCATGCTCTTCTCAGTCACTACTATCCAGCTTGCCCGGAGCCTGATCTGACTATGGGCACCGCCAAGCATTCTGACCCTGACTTTCTTACTATCCTTCTCCAAGACCATATCGGGGGACTTCAAATTTATTATCGAGATCAATGGGTTGATGTTCCACCTGTGGCTGGAGCTCTAGTTGTCAACATTGGGGATCTCCTTCAGGCAAGCTTTTGATCATCTTTCTAGTAGGATTACATTTACTTCTATCAAATTAGACTGCTAAATCGATTTCAGAGCTTACATCCTTATTCTTGTTCTCGTTTCTCGGTAGTTCTGAGTTCTTGAAAACCAATTTCATGCTATCGTAGTAAATCAGATGGATATATGGAAACCGTAAACTATTTCCAGTGTTTTGTAGCTTAACACCTTAACTTTGTCAACCCACTTAGTTGAAATAACTTGCTAGATGTGCTGGAACTCTCTAAAACCTTCCTCATCACTTACTGAATCTACTTTATCCCTGAATTTTGTGGCAAACTTCCATTTGTTATCGTTGATCATTCGAAATGCTGTCTTTTGGACCCACATTGCATAGTAGTCGTATTTCTCATGTGTGGTACAGCACCATGTCATATGGAGATTTAGCATCACTACAGACTAACTACAGGTTAAAGGAATGTATTTAGGGGGATAGTGTCAATGGTAGATTTTGGAGTCTGAATTTGTAAACCTTGGCTAGATTCTGGAAGTCTCAGGAATCGGCAAAATCTTTGTCTATTATGGGCAAGTTTTAACATAGTTATAATGCTAGCACCTAACAAATGTGGATACTCACTGTACTCTTGTTACTTTCCTGCAGCTTATGTCGAATGACATTTTCAAAAGTGTTTGGCATCGGGTGTTGGCAAACCATGTTGGCCCTAGATTATCCGTGGCTTGCTTTTTCACTCTTCATCATTATCCCACGACAAGAATGTATGGCCCGATAAAGGAAATATTATCAGAAGACGGGCCACCGGCTTTGTATCGAGAAGCCTCTTTTCGCGAGTTCATCGCATACTATGGCTCAAAAGGACTCGATGGTAGTTCAGCTCTGACGCATTTCAGGTTGGTTCAATAGCCATTTGACTACTATACTGGATTGCTTAAAGTTCAAGCGACAATCAGCACAAAATATATGTAGAATGAAGGAGGATGTACCGAGTAGAATGTACTGAGGTTTGAGAGCATGATTGTATACCGAAAGATGCCTCTTTGTACACTGATGTTTCCGTGGCTCTTCTAATGTTGATTTCTGCATATATATGTTTGAACAGATAGGACCGTCGTATTAGGTTGATCGGTTCATTATGCCAGATAAACTCAATATCTTTAGCGACATCAAACACCGACACCATTGAGCATATTGATCCGTTGAATGTTATGTTGCTTGTGCTGAAGCTTTCTCCACGTTCATGGCCCAAAAATGAGACTGATTTGAGTTCTGGGTGATGCGGTAACATGTATTTTGCACTTACGCATAATGATGTAACATCTCTTTTAGGCCAAATACATATAGTGGCAGTTGAAGTTCTCTCTTCTTTCGCTTTCTTACATGCCCTGTTCCGTATATGGTTGTTTGCGATTTCCTAGCCATTTGCGTTCCATATTAAACTTGAATTCAAAATAAATTTAAAAGGATAAACTAATTACCTATGCCGAAATAGATAAATAAGTAAATGTAATTGAGTAATTATATTTATAATAGCTGATCTTGGTGCTGTGTTAGTAATTTATGACCGTAGTTTACCATAAAGAATTATTGCTGAAGATTATTATAGAATCTAATAAAACAATTAATGTTTTCGTACGAATTTTTTAACTTGTTAATTGTACTAGCCAGAACATTCGCGCGTGGCCGGTGAACCACCTTTGGCTTATATTTTCACTTGATGTAGAAGTTATTTGAAATTAGAGAAATAATAAAATCAAAGCAGTGACATAGTAAAGATGAGATTAATTGCATGGATCCTAAAAGTTCTTCACGTGACAAATATAAACTTCATCAAATGTACAGAATCAATTTTTATGAAGGGAAACTGAAAGGGAAATAAAGATTTGACTTGTTGACTCGACGGACTAATTTTCCTTGGATCAACAATCCTCGATCGCATTTTGTGCCATCATCCTCCTTAGTATGTGGCCGGAGTCGTTTGACCTCGGCAGCGAACCATTGAGAAAACTCTCCACTAAGGGGGACTCGCCATGCCTCAAAAGCATCGCACCCTTTAAGCACTAAAGAGTGAAGAATGCTACGTGATCGGGAAAAGTACCAAAAAAGTATTAAACCTGTTGCAATAGCATCGATTCAATTCTAAATCTTTCAATTGGACCAACTTAATTATAAACATTTTCACATTAGTGCCAATTCAGTCCATATGGCCAATATAAGCCGGAAATCTCTGACGTGGCGAGAGCTAGCAACCCTCGTCGACCGCGGGGCGAGGCCTCCTTCTTCCCACTGCATCACCTCCGTCTTGACAACAGCGCGGCCTCCTCGCCAGCGAGCTCGCGTGGGTGCAGAACAATTCGATCAGCTTAGAAAGAGAAGAAAATAGAAAGATATTCGAGAAGGTTCGCAAAATTGCAAACTGCGTGCTCCAGTTTTGGAAAATTACAAAACTTTAGTATTCAAATTCTATGCCGTTCTGCAGTTTACACAAGAAGCTTTTCAGCCTCCCCACCAGCGACCTTCGAAGTGCGTGCTCTGCATTCCGCAAGTTCGCGTCCTCCCGCACGCACTTGCCGAGTACGGCGACGAGGCGACGAGAAGGCGAGTCGAGGTCATTCGCCACCAGCCGCCTTCTCCGACGATGAAATCTTCAGGGCGCCCCGGAAACCCCAGTCGACAAGCCTCTTGAGCTGCGACTTCAGGATCGGGTTTCTAGCGTTGGCCTGAAGAGACCGGCAATGATGATGAACTTGAGAATGGAGAAGTATCAAGAATCATTTTTTATTCCTTTTGCTTGAAAGTACTTGATCTGGTAATTAAAGTAACAGTTTCATGTACGCTAGTGAAAATGGCAATGCCGTGGTAACTTCGACTTCACTAGACCCGTCAAACCAGTGGATTGGGGCGGGTTTGGGTTAGATCGAAAACAGTCCGATCCAAATAAGCCCATTTAACCTGTTTTGACACGTAATGCAAATATAATGGCCCATATTCAACTCGACCCATACCCAATTTATACCCAACCTGACATATATTGCTAAAATACTTCTATATTTAATTCAATTAAGGAAAACTCATATCCAAACCGAGATAAGAGTACGGAATGAATAAGAGTGATATTGAGTGAGGACAAAAGAGATAAGTTGAATTTAAATAAGTTGTAAATCCATTTATGACCTATTTATGACTCATTTTATGTTTATACCCATTCATGACCCACTTATTGAATATCACTGATTTATTTATTACCCATTTACTAATATATGGGTTAAAAATGAGTTTATGATCCATTTGGACATATATAAACTTCACTCATAGTTACTTGGGAATGTTGGGTTGGGTCTGGATTGGATGATTCATAACATTCACAGTCCTGTTTGCATTAACACTTTTCCACAAAAATCTCCAATAAATTTGGCTTAGGGACTTCAATCCAGCTTCGCCTCGTCGAGACCGATCGGAGCGTGCGAGAGGATGAATCTGAGTTCGAGCATGGACAACGATGAGGACACAAAGCTAATGGCTTACACCCCGTCGTGCTCGACCACGACCACAATTACGTGATCTGAGTCACATCTTGCCCCGCTCGTACTTGATCTGTGGCTCGGATCAACCTCCATCTTTCGACGAAGGTGCTGGGATTGCCGTCGACGGCGGTGGTGAGCGAGTTTGAGGGCGTCCATAGCGAGGTCGGTGGGGAGATAGAGATGAACTTTAGAGAAGGTGATCTTCAAAGTGAACACGACAGAGGCAAAGATGACGAAGAAAAAAGGAAAAAAACAAAAGAAAAAGAGGGAAGAAATAAATGAAAAAGAAAAAAAAGAAATAAAAATCTCTGGACGAAATTACCCTTACTGCAATTGCCATTGACCTTGGGCCGAGTAAATTAGTAACTTTAGACTATTATTCGAGATAAAATCCGCTACAAGCCTTTTATTTTTTGGATTAATACCATGAAAAATTCTAAATTAGTACACCTGTGATAAATTTATTCTGAACTAATTTTTTAACCACCAAACACTCCAAACTGGTACATCTGTGACAAATTTACCCTAAACTAATTTTTTTATCACCAAAAATCCCAAACCGATACATTTGTGATAAATTTTCTCTCCGTTAAATTGGATTAATAACATGAAAAATCATAAACTGGTACACCTGTAAAAATCCCAAATTAGTGCACTCGTCAATTGCCACGTGCCATCCAATTCAGAAATTTGTCTGTAAAATTTAATGAAAACTAATGGAATAGTCAAAATTGTAAAAGGTGTACCAGTTTGAAGTTTTTTATGGTCAAAAATTTAGTTTGCGATAAATTTATCATAACTGTACCAATTTAAAGTTTTTCTTGCTATTAATCTCTTCCTTTTTTTTCCCGAGAAAGTAGCCGTTCAAGTACTTATTTACAAATTTTCCCGCGGTTAATCAAGTAGTAGGATTTATCCTCAATCCGTAAGGGACAAATTTGCAAAAAGTAGTATGCGCACGTGTTCAGACAGAATCGTAACACGAAGCATCAGCGCTGTCTGTCTCTCTCTCTCTCTCTCGTTCGAAAATGGTGGCCGCCGACGATCCACACGAAGCCGATCCCTCGACCCACGATCGCTATCGGGAGCTGAAGCGCTTCGACGATTCCAAATCGGGCGTCAAGGGCCTCGCCGACTCCGGCATCGCCACGCTCCCCCGCTTCTTCGTCCGCCCGCCGGAGGACATCGCCGCCGACCGGCCCGGCGGCGGCGCTCCTCCGGGCCGGCCGCGCCCGCCGGGCTCGAGATCCCGGTGATCGACCTCGGGAGCCTGGCGGCGTGCCGGCCGGCGGCGGTGGCGCGGGTCCTGGCGGCGGCGCGCGAGGTCGGGTTCTTCCAGGTGGTGAACCACGGGATACCGGAGAGCGCGCTGGCGGGGGCGCTGGCGGCGGCGCGCGCGTTCCACGAGCTGCCCGGGGAGGCGAAGGCGGGGTACTACAGCAGGGAGGCGGAGAGGAAGGTGAAGTTCATAAGCAACTTCGATCTGTACGAGTCGAAGCACGCGAATTGGAGGGACACTCTGTTCTGCGTCATGGGGCCCGAGCCGCTCGATCCTCTGGAGTTGCCTCTGGTCTGTAGGTACTAGTTTAAAGCTCCATTGTTGATTGAGGACGAGCTGTTGTTATTTCATTGTGCTTTTACTTCAAAGCTCAGTTGACTTTGAAGACGCTTCTTCGTCTGGGTTAGATGTGCTTCAGAAAAGTGTAATTATCCTATAGACTGTCATTGTCTGCAGTGTATAGAATTCCCACTGGCCAACTTAGATTGGGGTTCTTGAGTTCTTCCTCGGCTGCTTTCATGGATGACATTTTGATTATGGAATGGAGTGTCTGCATTGGTTTCTCCGTCAGGGTTTTTAGCCTTACAACTCCGTAGAACTCTCCGGTCCGGATCATGCTCCAGCAATCTTGAGAAGAAAAGGAAGAAAGATGGTAATTTTGCTGGAATATAGGTCCGTTATGTAAGGGATTCAAAGAGGGAAAAGCCTTTTTTTTTTTGTTGGTTCGAGTTTTGTGTACTCACCTATTTGTAGCACCCGCGGTTTGAGCAGAACTGTCATATAAATTTCTGACTAACCTTCTACTTGGAACTGCACCTGAGGTGTTCAATAGAGAGAATTCTGTGTAGTTTGCTTAAAAGAAATAAAAATGGAATACACGGGCTTAACATCATTGATGAACTGCTCAGTATCTAACTGCTACACAGTAATCTAGTCGTGGCTGAACCGCAAAATCGGTTGTGCCTGTGAAAATGGTTTGTTGGAGACCTCTTATGTTGTGAAACCTTTATCAATCGATGCAGTTCTATGGTTTTACTAATTGAAACAAGTTTTTTATTGGAATAATAGAGCAAGCTGATCCTCGTCTCCGTCTAATTTGGCATATATATTGCAGAGACATGCTGATGGAGTATTCCAAGCAAGTTAAGGCATTAGGGATCACTCTGTTTGAATTGCTATCAGAGGCGCTTGGTCTGAAACCCGACCATCTTGTAAATATGGACTGCGCAAAAGGGCATGCTCTTCTCAGTCACTACTATCCAGCTTGCCCAGAGCCTGATCTGACTATGGGCACCACCAAGCATTCTGATCCTGACTTTCTTACTATCCTTCTCCAAGACCATATCGGGGGACTTCAAGTTTATTATCGAGATCAATGGGTTGATGTTCCCCCTGTGGCTGGAGCTTTAGTTGTCAACATTGGAGATCTCCT